TCAACGGGAGGGTCCTCCTTATCCCCTATATACGCAATCCCGTTACAAATCATTACAACTCAGTGTGATTTAATTTTCCTTTATGCTCTTCCATGTAGTAATAGAGTGAACCTTGCCATCTTCGAATCTGTAACTAAGTCACTGTTTTGATCAATTTTGTCTAATCACTTTATTAATCATTGATGATTGAGTACTATTAAAAATATTATAATCAAATTCTGCAACTTGCTACAAGTAAATTCTAACTGTTACTAAATCAAACTGTGTAAAGTCACTCGTTCATAGTAAATTGACATAATCAGCAGGATTCACAAACCTGCATTCGTGACAAAGGCAAACAGTAAATCCATCTTTATTCTCTTAAGTTAATAGTTTCTTGCCAATTACAGAACCCAATGTTCCTGACATTTTTCACAGAGTGTTACTCATAAGGTGATAATTGATAAAGTGATAATGAATCAGCAAAAAACAAATCGTGGGAAAATAATCAGTGGGCAACTTAAAAGACTATTGCAGTCATCAATAGTCTCCATGTGAACTTCTCAGAAAACCCACGTCATGGAAGCAATGCTGGCTTGCAGCATTCAAATAAAGTAATTCAGAATAGGGCTCTGTGACACCTGTGATCTCTGCACATAATTCCTGACCAAAAGCAACTCAAACTAACCTTGTCTCTTGCATCAAGGTCAGCCCTGTGTTCTGCCAAGCATTCCACAATATCATGGTAACCCCTAGCAGATGCTGTCAGGAGCGGAGTCTCCCCTTCTTTGTTTTTAATGTTCACGTTGCAACCGGCTTCACAGAGTGCTTTGGCAACAGAGTAGTAGCCATGCCAAGCAGCACAATGCAGTGGGGTTTCTTCTTCCTATCAACATGGAAAATAAATAAAAAAAAAAATTACAGAGATGAACCAAATGCCAGGAGGAACAATTCCCCAGCTTAACTTAGAAAGACAGGAAGATGACATGAAAGAAAAAAGACAGTCTACTAAGTAAGCCCTATAAAAATATGTTATAATTTCTAATGCCAACATTCTCAAAGCAAGCATAAGTCCTGCTGACATACCAAGTGATTTTGGTAATGCACCAGATTTTCATCATCACCTGGATTCTGACAGTCCATATTTCTCACCATAAAACTATCTACCGACAACACCTTGCATGTCAGCAGTCTTAGTTTAGATGTTTCCGTGCTCCTGAAGCTAACTACCTTGGTTCTCTCACTTGAAAACTGATCCTCATCCATAAGCAACTTCTACATCCTCTGTGCTCAGGGACAAACCCAGTGTTTAAAACAGACAGCTCACCAAGGAGATGTAAATCCCACTAGACTTGCAGTTTGAGGCAGATCACTCTGCTTACCGTATTCAAAAAGCACATCCTAATGATTGAGGAGTGTAGGCAGTGACTTGGGTACGTAGAAACCCAAGTCCTTTAAACATGCATCATGACAAGCCTTAGAAACTGCAGGCATTTTGAGTTCAGTTGTGACTGAAGTTCTAATTTGCATTTTGCTTGAACCCAGGAAGCTTCAAAATACTCACCTTTAATCTCCCTGTACTTCACACAGTTATGTGGAACATCATTAAGAAACTAAAATGTTTTACAAAAACATGCTATTGAAAGTAGCCCACTGAAAAGTAGGGAGGATTAAAACCCACCAAGAAAGGTAATTCTGTCAAATTCTAAGAAATAGGATATCCTTTCTGTACGTGGCAAATATCAATGAGGAGACAATTGATGCTGATAGTATTAGAGGACCTGGACTGTACTCAAGGTTTCTGTAAAAATCTGAGGAAAAAAAAATAGTTGAACAGCACACCCTGTGGTCCCTTGGCCTTGCTGCTGCCTAAACAATATAAAGGTAGTCCTAGAGGATGCAGTACTTGGTGAGGCTTGTGCAACTCCCACACAGTTAAATTTCGGTCAAATCGATGTTCTTTTTATATTAAGCCTTTTCTTTCCTGTTTTCTCACAAGAGTTCAGAGCTCTAAAGAAGCCCTCCTGAGCCCTCCTCTCATTTTCAAAAATGAGTGCTTGACACTTCAGGAAAGCCCCATGACTGCTAAAGCCAAGCTGAAGTCAAGGCAAAAACTAATAAAAAGCTTTAGCTGAACTCACAGAGCCCACACTACCACCCATACCTTTGTGATGTTGAGTTTCTCCATCTTTAAGCTTTCATTTTTGAAAGAACCTGTGTTTTCTAACAGTAGTTGGTTCATGCACACTGTTTTTTGCATAGTCTTCATCTATTAAGAGGTATCAAAACCGCCATAATTCTGTTATTTTTTTCAAGTGCAAACATGCCAGAGGCTACAGGGCAAGTCTAAAAGAGCTTTGACCACTCATACTAAAGCCTTATTAGCTGAAGAAAAACAGACAGTGTCCATGACTCACCTTGTCTTGAAAGTTTGGATTGGATCCAATGCTACAGAGAAACTGAACCACATCCACATGCCCGTACCGAGCTGCGACGTGGAGAGCGGTCTCCCCAGACTGCAAGTACAGAAGAACATGCCAGTGTCACTTCACATGTCACCCCTAGATATACACTGCCATGTACAGCCTGAATGCCTGTATACTGCATGGGGTACTCCTTCCTCCCCATAACCCAGAGGCAGAGCTGTGGTTGGCAGAGATCTCCCGCTTATAAACTGTAGTTGTACGTGACAGATACACCACCACCTGACTAGTTATTTCTTCAAAGGCCTTCCTTTTTCAGAACTTGTTTTCCTACTTAGCTTGTTCCAGGTCACAGCCACAATGGGATTTCTGAGCAATATGAGGCGGCAGCTGCGTGTGCAATTGATGTAGAAACAGACATCCTATTTCTGTTCATACTATTTCTGTATGCCTCCCTCTGCCCTGTATATACTAATGTAGGGAGCTGGCCTAACGCCTTCGTATATCCTGGAGTATTTTGGTCATTACATGTAATTATTTGCAACCTTTTGTTGAAATTATATGAAAAAGAAATGGTATTTTTATTACAAGAGTAACCTCTCTCCTAGTAGCCCTATCAGGAGTCGAACACTAATTTTGCTAATGTGCCCTGCCTTGCACTAGTTCCCCCAACAAAGCAAACTGTATTCCACAAATATAATTGCCTCTGTACTGGGGCTTTGCGTAGTATAAAAACATCACTATGGTATAAGATTTTAACAGAAACTAGTTTCTAGGGCAAGTGTTGCTCAAGTAACGCTGCTGGAGACAAGGTAAGTGCTCATCAGCAATAAGTTGTTAGGCTTCATTATACTCAACTTAATAACACTCAAATTTACTTGTCAGACAAAAGTGATTTTCAATCAAGAGGAATGAAAAACAGAATCACGATTTTGCCCTGAGTTCCAATGAGAAATCTAGTCTTCAAGTGAAAACTAATTTAGGTTTGTACTTCCCCACCTACCCACCATGTACTCACCGCATTTAATATGCACGCTTGGTTAACATTTGTCAGGAAAATAATCAGTACATCCAGCTACTTTAAAGCTGTGTTATCACAGCCCTATATGTCAGCTTATAAAACCACACTAAAAAAGCCAGTCACATTCCTGGAATTACGGCACAGCTGAAAACCATTCTAATTGAAAGACCTCTCTCTTTGCTAAGACAAAGTTATTAAAAAAAAAACACTCTGCATGAAAAATGGAAAGATTTTTTCTTACCTTATCCTTAACATCCAAGGGACATTTATTATCATTGAGAAATTTCAGCGTTTCTACATGACCATGTCGAGAAGCCCAATAGATTGCATTAGATCCAGCCTGTCAAAAATATTTGATTACAGATGTTATTCATCAATTTAGATCAGTTAGCATTTAGAATCCTAATTCTAGATTTTCAGCTGAGGTATATATGCACTTAGATGTACACAGATATATTGAACAGCTATTCAACCTTACATGAACACATTTACTTTTTAAAAAAAATATTCAAATCGGTTTAACAACCCCACATACCAACAATGACAACAAAAACCCCTCTATCCAAGGATGACTAACAGGATCACTAACTGTTTGCAAGGATAATCCTCTTCCCCTTGTAAGGGAGTTTTTTGGAAAGAACAGTCAAGAGATAAAAACTTTTTTGCTCCTTACTTTGCCATCTATTAGACAGAGAAGCAGACAGTGCTTAAAGTCTGCTTTAAATCAACCCCAGATCATTACACCACATTTTGGAAAAAACCTTGTTGCAAAGCATACCCTCCATCACATACAAGTTTTAGCTGCAATATTCCTCATCACTAAAATGTACATTTATCATTCCATATTAAATAAAGCTCACCATTGTGTTTTAGGGCAATCACTGATTTGAACTAATTGAGGCAATTGTGTAAGCACAAACTACATTTTAGGATTAGTATCATTCAAATTACTTCAGCTAATAAAGTCACCAAAATCAGAGGATACGTACTAGTAATAAATGGCATTATTAAAGATTTGCTTTTATCTTTTTGCTGTGGAAGACAGAAAACAGGCTCTACAGCCCAGATTTTTTCATCTCCCATACAACTTGGTCTGAACTGCTTTTCCTCTGCTGACTGTACTGAAAAACTTATACAGAATGGTAACAAAGCAGAACCCTGACCTTATCTTGAACATCAATACGGGATCCACGCTTTAAAAGCAACTGAAGCATCTGAATGTTTCCACAGCCAGCAGCAATCAGTAGTGGAGGTGTTCCATGCTAACAATGAAATACAAGCAAAACCAACATATTTAATTTTTGAAGGATTAAGAAAAGAGAGTGCAATAGAAAGCAGGCATTGAATGGCATCTCTGGATTTCCAGTTTCAAATTATATCTTCAGGGAATACGGTATAGAAAATAATTCATCCCTTTGTCCAAAGGAGTTTATTGCACAGCAATCTTCCATATTTTTTGGGATGAATTTACATTTACTAAATGATACACCACACATTAAAGGCATGCTTTTCAAACTAGGAATATTAACGTTAAGCTCTCATTAGCCCAACTTGGCAAGGATCTTCCCCTTTGCAACTTCTTTATGTCTACATTTTAAGCCAGATTACTTAAGGTGTTTGCCACACCACCTCAAAGACACAAGGCACCAGCAACATACGGGAAAGTTAAACAGGACTGCACCATTAAAACGAAAAGTACAGTGACTTCTTGAAAGGTTCAAGATCCCATCACAGTAAAATAACAGATGCTTTACTTCTACAGTGCTCTTCATGAATATTCCTCAAAGTAGTTTATAATAAAGGTCAGTATAACCATTCAAAAAAAGTGAAAATTAGAGCAGAGGTGATTTATCCAAGGTTAAACAACAGAGCCAGCAACAGAACTTTCATCTTGGTCTCAGTTCCAATACTCCCATTACTACAGCAGCAGCACACTGAAATACTGTACTAGGTGAGTAATTTCATTTCTGAAAATGAACGGCACCATCTAACATTATGTTTACATAACCAGTTTCTGCAGCATGGGACTTTTGTTTCTAACACTGCCTTGCAAAGTCAGTTCTGGCAGTCTGGTTATTCCTACATATTCTGCCATCTTCATGTGCCACAAGAAACAACTGCAAACAGCAAAGGCTGATATCTTACACACCACAGCTCTTGACAACAGATTTAATTAATACTTTTTCAAAGGCCTAGGCAAAGAAAACCATTTTGGGCTCCATTTTCAGGTAGTTTGAGAAGACTGAACACAGAACACATCAAAACTTCTCCTAAAGAAAGGCAGAATTATTTCACATGCACTTGTCTTTTCATTTCAGATGTTGCACCTGTATTTTACAGCCATGTCGATCTATTCAACAGGGTGATAGCTAGTCCCCCACGCACCTCAGCACAGACCCACACTACCTTGTTGGGTTGATTGACATCGTAATTTGTCAGAGATCCCAGAAGGTGCTGTAATCCAGGAACATTGTCATCATTGATGGCATGAATAATAGCTTTCATCACAAAAGAATCTTCCTCATCCTTGTAATTAAATAAGAAAGAAGAAAAATTGTTAGCTTAAAGGAAAAAATCCCTACCTCACAGCTGCCAAGACATCTAAAAAAAATTAAAACAGTAAAATTTTCAAAGTCTCTTAGAGTGCTTCAGCAGCAAGTTGTAATTCTTTGTGAAGCATATGGCTAACATGTACGCATGTTATTTGAAAACCCACATCAAAAACCCCCACACTTTTTCTAGTACAATATGCTTCCCTCTTCTTCACACAGGAACCTGCTACTAATTGAGATTCCAAACAGGTTTCTTCCATTAGGTGTATTTTCTTTTTCCTCCTAGGACTTTCAATAGGTGCAATACTTGCATGAAATCAAACTAATACCATGCATATATGTGAACATTAAAAAAACCCAAGAAGTACAAAAATACAAACTGGAATATCAAGTTTTGCAACATTCAGGAATATGACACAGAAGAGGTACTTCGGACCAAGCTGTCATCTGTTCAAATGGACCAGTTAAAAATCTAAAGCATAACTAAGGAGCCTAGATACCTTGCAGGTGTAACTTTATTTTTGTCCCATGCACTAAAATGTCAAAGAACTGAAATTTACTAAGCCCTATATTTGGATCACTCTTACCTCCTCTGTTCTGAGGTTTCAGAGTTTTTAGAACACTAACATTAGGCTACAAACCTTTCTGCTGCAACACAGGTGTGAAATGCTGATCCAGTGTTAAAAGGCATACTGATACCTGAGGTGGGGGAGGCAGGGAAAGGAAGGCAAGAACAAGAAAACAAAGAACATGGAAGCAAAAAAGATAAGAGGAAGAAAAGTGGAAACAAGAGTGCAGAGTTGCACTGGAGGGACACAGGGAAGCTAGTAAGATAAAATGGGCTTTGCAGAAGTTTTGAAGTTTGATCCTATTAATGCACAGAAAAGATGAAGTTACCCAGCTCTAAACATATTAACATACACACTTTGCTGATCACAGGGAATTTGTGCAGCTTGTATTAAAACCTGGAGAGTAAGCTAAGTAAGAAAGCTTTTGGATTTACAAGCACTTGTAATTACAAAGCATACAGCAATCGCTCCTGACTACTTAAATCTAGTAGACGTATATAATACCACCAACTGAATACTGGCCAACTTTAAAATTTCCTCCTTAAACAAGTGCTTGTTGTGATAGTGCTGCCTAGCATTCACTGGATCTAAGAAGGTCTCAATGATTTTGAATATTCTGTTAAAAAATTGCACTATTATTTTACTCTACATGGTGTCATGAAAAATTCAGATGCAACTTTTTCACATTATAATTGCTACAGTACAAAAAATCCTCCTGAATCAAACTTCAAAACCAAGATACATGAATTTCTGGCACTAGCTATCAGCCTCATGATGGTAATTAATAAATTAAATTTCACGGTTTGTGTCATGCAGAAGATCAGACTATAGGTAACAACTGACCTCTGCAGCCTTAAAATCTTTCTTCCTACATATGAGATTGATTAATTATGCACATTTTTAATAGCCCAATATTTCTGTTAGAATCATTTCAGAAAATGTGAACTTTCAGACGTAGTAAAGCATTCTAAGCATATAAGTACACACTTACCAGAGTATCATCACTCCTAGCGACACTCATGTTACTTCTGGACAAGAAAGATCTTGATAATCTTTGGCACAAGGATATTAAGCGCACTGATTGCTTTTTAAAAATAAGAAGAAAAAAGCTATATGTAAAAAAAAAATCAAAACAGAACACTTGTGATAAGATTCTATTGCAGAGATTTTGAAGGAATACCGTCGTATTAGCAAAACGCACTAGAGTTTGACTTCAACACCCCCCCATCTCCTTTTTATATTGCATTTGAACGTTCAGTTTGCCTTGCCATTTATAATCCAAATAGGCTATTCATATGCACTAAGCAAAGCTACGTAATATTTTTGGATTGCTACTATTTCTGAGCTGTTCCAATACCAGGCAAACCAGATTCGTATCACATCCTCTTGTTCACATTGAAAACATTTAAATGTACATATTTTAAAGTATGTACACACAGAAAACCTACACTGAGTGTAAATTAGCTGACAGCATTCCTTTAAATGCTGTATTACAAAACAGTTTAAGATATTCCTAGACCAACCATTTCATTCTAGGGCAGCAGACTAGCGTTTAAATTTTATAAATACCACAGATGTTTATCTAACACAGACACTAAACTGTGGCAAAAAAATTGCACTGCATAGCTGGATGTTTTGTGCCTTTGGACCACAGCTTAGCAAAATCACCCTATTTCTTGGCCTCTGTGACCATGAATAAAGTTCATTTTCTAATAATATCCACCTCTGTTGCCTCATGTTTCATCTCTCCTCATGATAAACAGATTTCTCATAGAGCAGTCCTGCCCTTGTGTAGTATCAGTGTGAATTCCGCAATGTGTGTGCTGAAGGTGGAAGGATAACTGTCTTGATGAACGGCTCCTTGCATAGATCAACACTTTCAGCTAATACCTTGCCCCACTTCTGGAAAGATTAAGTGATGCCAACCTTCTAAGCAGGCTGGCAGACTCACACCAAAAATCCTTTGCAAAAGAGACTGGTTTTTCATTCCCCCTCTGTTGAGTGTTGGCATAACTACTGGAATAATTAATTCTGTAATGCTTGGTTAAGGGATGTTTGATCCCCTACCAGGGGAGGTGCCTTGCTTGACCTGCTGTTTACTAACAGAGAAGGGGTTGTGGGAGATGTCAATGGTCAGAGGCTGTCTTGCGCTTAGCGACCACGATATGATAGAGTTCTCGATTTTTGGCGATGTAAAGAGGAGGGGCAGCAAAACTGTTACCATGGACTTCTGGAGGGCAGACTTTGGCCTCTTCAGGTTGGTTGGGAAAGTCCCTCGGGGGGCAGTCCTGAAGGGCAAAGGGGTCCAGGAAGGCCGGGCCTTCTTCAAGAAGGAAGTCTTAAGGGAGCAGGAGCGGGCTGTCCCCGTGTGCCGTAAGATGAACTGGCGGGGAAGATGACCAGCCTGGCTGAATAGGGAGCTTTTGCTGGGACTCAGGAAAAAAAGGAGTCTACCACCATTGGAAGAAGGGGCAGGCAACTCAGGAGGAGTACAGGGATCTTGTTAGGTCACGCAGGGAGGAAATTAAAAAAGCAAAAGCCCAGCAAGAACTCAGTCTGGCCACTGTTGTAAAAGATAATAAAAAATGTTTTTATAAGTACATCAACAATAAAAGGAGAGCCAAGGAGGATCTCCATCCTTTGCTGGATGTGGGGGGGAACATTGTCACCAAGGACAAGGAAAAACCTGAGGTACTTAATGCCTTCTTTGCCTCTGTGCTTAATAGCCAGACCGGTCATCCCCAGGGTACTCAGGCCCCT